ATTTTACAAATTTGGTTAAGTAAACATTTTGTGATTGGCTACTTGGGCCGTTAAAAATTTTGCATCAACTACACCTGCTATTTTGCTGATGCCTCTAATGCAAAATCCGATATAAATTTCAGCCAACCATATTTCTTGAAATTTGCATCAAAATCTGCATCAACCAATTTTGAATACCAAAGTTGGTATTAATTAAAATTTGATACAAAAAGAAATGGTTTTTATTTAAACATCACATCAATTAATGGTTTAAAGTAAATATTTTTTGACATATAATCGTTGCGTTGCCTAACATACCTATAGCTGATTCATTTTGACATTTATTTAAGCATTTTGATAGGCTCTATGAAAGATGCAGCCATACCATTGACACAAACGGCAAGGGATAATAATTGTTCAACTATTTGAACCAAATAAATTAAAATAAAATTGATATTTAAATATGCAGGGTTAATGAAATATTTATATTATAAATATATAACAGCTAATGAATTTCTTGCAAACAATAATTTAATTGCTTACAAAAATAATACAAAACAAAATGATCTAAATAATATATTATTAGACATTTTAGACATTTGAAGAAATTAATTTTAAAAAATTTGAGTTTTATTTGTGAAGATTGTTGAAGACCGGTCTTTGATCTCTCTTTAGAACGCACCAGTCATAATTCAGTCCTAAGTCCGTTCTAAGAAGACTAGTTCTTATATTTTTCTTTAAAAAAAAAAAAAATTAATGAAATGAATAACGATAATTACTGATTTTAATTCCGGCCGAATTTTCAATTTTCGGCAAATTTATTGTACTGGTCTAACTGGTTAAAGATTTTTAGGCCTCTTATCATTCGTCGGATTTCGCCATTATTTTTTTTCTCTGGAATATTGTACTCCAATTCTAATTATACCAGAATCCTCAATTACAACCTTTTAAATCTATCAACTGTAATTAAATAATATATCAAAGAAAATATTTATCAACGTCTATATTTGATATCAATATCGTGCGGGCATAACTTTTCACGCATTGGAAAGGTTTTGCCGATCTATCACAAGAAATCCAAATGTTTTATTTGGCACAATACTATAATCAACTACATTATCCCTTAAAAAAAATTAAAGAGGCAAATAAGAGAAATTCGTATTTTTTTAAAAAAAAGAAAATAATAATCCCAGAAAAGAATCTTATCTCGGGATATAGTGAGCAAAAAGGATCAATTTCCAAAATGAATAAGAATAAAAAAAAAAATTTAAAAAAATTTTAAAAAATACCTCGAGAAAAGAGCTTATTTAATATCTGCAAGATAAAGTAATGTGTAGGAGTCAAAAATATAAAGTAAAAATTAAAAAAAAAATAAAACATAAAAACTTACCTTAAAATAATTGATCTTCGAGATGGAATTTGTTTAAGGGTTATACAAAAAAAAAAAAGGTATATCAAATAACATTTATAGAAGTTAATATTACAAAGTAAATTTTTCACCAGATCATTTCGTCTTCATAATAATTTGGACTGAATTGTTCGATATCAAAACTTAGGATTTCGACTTTTACCATTTGCTACATTGATCTTTGTCTCACAACAAGCGTTGGCCTTTTGGACTAATGGACTTTTGGACCATTGGACTACTGGACTACTGGACTTAGTTTATTCCAATTCCATTAAAATTTGGACTTTTGGACTATAGACTTCGTCCAACAGCTATAAATTTATATTTAATTTTGGCAATATATTCATAATTGTAATAATTATTATGTAAATCATTTTATTGATATTTGTTAGAAATTTTAAATAATTAGGTTCTCCAAGCCTGAAAAGCCAGATCAATCAGTAGAAATCGTTCTAGTTGAACGATTTTATTATTGTCCAAAATTTTTAAGTTAGGCTAGCATTATAAATTTAGCCAGAATTA